GGTTTCTTCTCATTTGCCTAAGCTTTTGCGGGTAGAATCACTCTGTACCTGTGCTAGTGGGAATTCTTTACGCTATCACCATGCATAACTTAAACCCTTTTCAAACAAACATTATAGTGAGGAGACTTGTTATCATGTAGATAGCAGATCAACATGATATCTTTAATATAGGCTAAGAATGTGAACTCAAAGAAAATATAAAAAAGACACACACACACACTGCATTTTTGTATGAAGAGTAATATACTCTGAAGCTCATGCAGAGGTATAAATAGTGGATAACATGCTATACATACTTGTGAACCTAAGGTCAATTCAGCAATCACAAGGAAAATGATTAGCTACTCTAAAATGCCAAACCTTGTTGTTGTATTTTGTGTAGCCTCCTTTTGCATCTGCACTTTCTATATCTCTATCAATATTTTCCCGGATAATATTCACTTCTATTATCGTTAAAAACACAAGAAAATGGAGTACTGTGAGAAACAAAAAAAGTAATAAGCCATTCCCTCCAGGTCCAAAACCATGGCCTATAATTGGCAGCCTTCCTCAAATGCTTCTAAATAGAAAGCCAGCATTTCAATGGATACACAATCTTATGGAGGAAATGGACACTGAAATCGCTTGCATTCGTCTTGGTAATGTCCATGTTATTCCCGTCACTCCTCCTGAGCTTGCTTGCGAGTTCTTAAAGAAGCAAGACTCCGTTTTCTCATCGAGACCTATTTGCATGTGCAAACCTCGTTAGTGTGGGGTCAAATCAAAACAAAAAAAAAAAAAAACAAAAACAAAAAGCAATTAAAAAAGAAAGAAGATAACAACAAGTTGCAATGGCAACTTGTTGCAATAACGGCTGAAACAAGAACCAAGTTGCAACAAGCTGCCAAAACTTGTTTTGGCCGGTTACAAATTTCAATGCAAATTGCAAAGAAACCATTCTGATTGGTCCAATAGTTGGCAAGTTTTGCTATAAATAGCAGGCCTCGTTCCTCATTTCAAAAACACCAAATCAGAGAGAGCACAATAGAGCGTAGAGAGAGTAATCCACAGATTGTAGTCTGTGAGATAAATAGTGAGAGTGAGTAATATTGTAGTGAGGTGTTTAAAATAAAGAGTGTTATTTCTTTCGAAGTTGTAGTAGTATCTTGACACTACTAAGTTGTAATATTATAGTGGAAATATTGCTCCACTCGGGTATTGTATTTTACCCCGTTAAAAGAGTTGGTGTCTTTGTTACTCTCTTGTGTTATTGTTATTTACCGTGGATATTATTCCTGGGCGGGACTATTATTTTTATTCCCAACAACGTGGTATCAGAGCCATGGCGAGTAATGGTCCGCTGTCTTTCCAATATCCCCGTCTCACAAAAGATAATTATGAGAAATGGTGTCTACGTATGAAAGCCATTCTAGGCTCACAGGATGTGTGGAAAATAGTAGATAGAGGTTATGTAAAACCCGATAATGAGGAAGCTCTGCCTCAAAATAAAAAACATGTCTTGGCAAAGACAAGGAAGAAGGATCAACAAGCCCTCACGCTCATCCACCAATGTTTGGATGATGCCATGTTTGAGAAGGTGGCAGATGCTACCACCTCAAACGAAGCTTGGGAGATTTTACAAAATTCTCTTCAAGGAGTTGACAAGGTGAGGAAGGTAAAACTTCAAACTCTAAGGGCTGATTTTGAAGTTTTAAAAATGAAAGAATCCGAATGCATTTCGGATTACTGTTCAAAAGTAAAGGCTATTGTAAATCAATTGAGACGATACAGGGAGGACATAGAAGATGTCCGTGTGGTAGAAAAGATCCTTTGCACTTTAACACCTAAATTTGATTTTGTGGTGTGTGCTATTGAGGAGTCTAAAGATTTAGACTCTATGATGGTGGAGCAATTGGAGGGTTCTTTACAGGCTCATGAAGAAAAGATCAAGAGGAGATAAGAAGTACCACTGGAGCAACTTCTTAAAACTCAGGCATCCTTTAAGGATTATGGAGGTGAAAAAAGCTATCGAGGGAATGGACGAAGAAGAGGCCGTGGCGGTCATGGCAGAGGAAGAAGTAACGGTAACAGCTTCAACAATGAAGTTAAAATCCACCAAACATTCAGAGGTCGTGCTCGTGGACAAAGAGGAGGAAGAGGACGTGGCTACTACCAAGAAAATAATGGACAAAGGTATGACAAATCAAAATTGAGTGTTATAATTATCATAAATTTGGCCACTACTCTTGGCAATGTCGTAGAAATGTTGAAGAGAAAGCTAACCTTGTTGACGACAAGAAGGAAGAAGATGAGTCAACGTTATTGCTGGCACTCAAGGAAGAAGACAGGGATGATTGCAGCTCGTGGTATTTGGACAATGGAGCAAGCAATCATATGTGTGGATGCAAAGAAAAGTTTGTGGAGATCAATAAAACGGTGAGAGGTAATGTGTCCTTTGGAGATACATCAAAGATTCAAATCGAAGGGATAGGGACAATTCTGATCTCCTGAAAAGATGGTAGTCACAAGCTAATTCAAGATGTATATTATGTGCCAAAATTAAAAAGTAATATTTTGAGTTTGGGCCGACTTCTTGAAAAGGAATATGACATCCACATGAAAAATATGCATCTTTGGCTTAGAGATTCAAGTGGAATTCTAATTGCTAAAATGCATATGGCAAAGAATAGATTATTTTCTCTGAATCTTAAAACAATTGATGCAAAGTGTTTGAAGGCTAATGTGCAAGATGAATCATGGTGTTGGCACATGCGATTTGGGCACTTGAATTTTGAAGCGCTCAAATCAATGAGAGAAAAGAACATGGTACATGGGATACCATCAATCAACCATCCAAATCAACTATGTGAAGCTTGTCTTCTAGGAAAACATGCAAGGAGAGTTTTCCAAAGGAGGCCATGTCAAGATCAACCAAGCCACTCCAGCTTGTTCACAATGATGTGTGTGGACCAATAAATCCACCTTCTTTTGGTAAAAGTAGATACTTTTTGCTTTTCATTGATGACTTTAGTAGAAAGACGTGGGTTTATTTCTTGAACCAAAAATCTGAAGCTTTTGCTGCTTTTAAAAATTTCAAAGTACTTGTGGAGAAAGAAAGTGGCTATGAAATTAAAGCTCTAAAGTCTGATAGAGGAGGAGAATTCACTTCAAACGAATTTAATGACTTTTGTCAGTCTCATGGAATTCGTCGCCCTCTAACGGTACCTTATTCACCCCAACAAAATGGAGTTGCAGAGAGGAAGAATCGAACGATTCTTAATATGGTTCGATGTATGTTGAAAGCTAAAAGTATGCCCAAGGAATTTTGGGCCGAAGCTGTTTCTTGTGCAGTTTATTTGAACAACAGGTCTCCAACAAGAAATGTTAGAGATCAAACCCCTCAAGAAGCATGGAGTGGAAGAAAGCCAAGTGTCAAATATTTGAGAATCTTTAGGATCATAGCCTATGCTCATGTGCCACATCAAGGGAGAGCAAAGCTTGACGATCGAAGTGTCAAGCATGTGTTTGTTGACTATGATACGAGTTCAAAAGGCTACAAGTTATACAACCCAAGCAGTGGTAAGGTGGTGGTAAGTCGCGATGTTGAATTTGATGAAGAATTGGCATGGGATTGGAAGCTCAGGAAGAAACTTTATATGATTTTCTTCCATATCTTAGTGATGAAGAAGAACCAGAGACCCTGGAACCTGTGCAGGATACAATTCCACCTCCTTCTCCAACCAATGTTGCATCTCCCTCTTCTCAAGAAAGTTCAAATGAACAGCCGCAAAGGACAAGGAGCATTCAAGAGCTCTATGAGGACACAGAAGAAGTTACTAATTTTGATTTTTTATGTTGTCTCTTTGCTGACAGTGAACCAATGAACTTTGATGAAGCTGTTACAAACAAAAAGTGGAGACAAGCCATGGAGGAGGAGATTGAGTCAATAGAGAAGAACAACACTTGGGAGTTAACAACTCTTCCCAAGGGTCATCGAGCAATTGGAGTGAAATGGGTATACAAAATAAAGAAGAATGCTGATGGAGATGTGGAGAAATACAAGGCACAACTTGTGGCTAAAGGCTACAAGCAAAGGCAAGGCATTGAATATGAAGAGGTCTATGCACCTGTTGCCCGCATGGAGACGATTCGTTTGCTGATCTCTTTGGCAGCGCGAATGAAGTGGAAAATCCATCAGCTAGATGTCAAGTCAGCCTTCTTGAATGGCTATCTTGAAGAAGAAGTCTATGTTGAACAACCATTGGGCTTCGTGGTCAAAAATCATGAATATAAAGTGTAGCGGTTGAAGAAGGTTTTATATGGATTAAAGCAAGCCCCACGAGCATGGAATAGTTGCATCGACAAATTCAAGACAATGGGTTTACTCGTTGTCTCCATGAATATGCTCTTTACCTTAAAGTTCATACTAATGGAGATAGCTTACTTGTTTGTCTTTATGTTGATGATCTTATTTTCACGGGCAATAACCCAAGTTTGTTTGAAGCTTTTAAGAAAGATATGTCCCATGAGTTCGAGATGACAGACGTAGGGCTCATGTCATATTACCTGGGCCTAGAAGTGAAGCAGATGGAGGATGGAATTTTTATCTCTCAAGAAAGCTATACAAAAGAGATATTGAAGAAGTTCAACATGCTCGATTTGCAACCCTGTGAACACACCGATGGAGAGTGGGACAAAATTGTCCAAGTTTGATGAAGGAGAAAAAGTGGATCCCACATTTTTCAAAAGTCTTGTGGGAAGTTTGAGGTACTTGACTTGTACCAGGCCAGATATACTCTTTGCAGTTGGAGTAGTAAGCCGCTTCATGGAAGCTCCTACCTCCGCTCATTTGAAAGTCACTAGAAGAATTCTTCGTTACCTTAAAGGTACTATTGACTTTGGGTTATTTTATTCTTCTTCTAGTGATTTCAACCTTATGGGATTTTGTGATAGTGATTATGCGGGAGATATTGATGATAGAAAAAGTACAACTGATTTTGTGTTTTTCTTGGGTGATTCTGTTATTTCTTGGAGTTCAAAGAAACAGTCCATAGTTACTCTCTCGACTTGTGAAGCTGAATATGTAGCAGCAACGTCTTGTACGTGTCATGTTATTTGGCTGAGAAGATTATTGAAGGAGCTCAATTTACCACAAATTGAAGCTACAGAGATTTGTATTGACAACAAATCCGCACAGGCACTCGCGAAGAATCCAGTGTATCATGATCGAAGCAAGCATATTGATACAAGGTATCACTTCATCAGATAAAGCATTGCCAAGAAGAAAGTTGAGCTCAAGTATGTGAAATCTCATGATCAAGTTGCGGATATTTTTACCAAGCCTCTCAAATTTGAAGATTTTCATAGATTGAGATCAAGACTTGGAATGAAGAAGAAAAATCAAAATTAAGGGAGAGAGGGGCCAAATCAAAACAAAAAAAACAAAAAACAAAAAGCAATTAAAAAAGGAAGAAGATAACAACAAGTTGCAATGGCAACTTGTTGCAATAACGGCTGAAACAAGAACCAAGTTGCAATAAGTTGCCAAAACTTGTTTTGGCCGGTTACAAATTGCAATGCAAATTGCAAAGAAACCATTCTGATTGGTCCAATAGTTGGCAAGTTTTGCTATAAATAGCAAGCCTCGTTCCTCATTTCAAAAACACCAAATCAGAGAGAGCACAATAGAGCGTAGAGAGAGTAATCCACATATTGTAGTCTGTGAGATAAATAGTGAGTGTGAGTAAAATAAAGAGTGTTATTTCTTTCGAAGTTGTAGTAGTCTCTTGACACTACTAAGTTGTAATATTATAGTGGAAATATTTCTCCACTCGGGTATTGTATTTTACCCCGTTAAAAGAGTTGATGTCTTTGTTACTCTTTTGTGTTATTGTTATTTACCGTGGATATTATTCCTGGGTGGGACTATTATTTTTATTCCCAACAGTTAGCAATGGCTACTTGACTTTGGTTTTTCTGCCCATAGGTGATCAATGGATGAAAATGAGAAGAATTCTTGCTTCTCATGTCCTCTCACATACATCTCTTCAGTGGCTTCATCATAAAAGGGATGAAGAAGCTGACCACCTTCTTCGATTCGTTTACAATGAATATAGCAATCAACAGGTAATTAACTTGAGGAAAATGACAAGATATTATTGTGGGAATGTTATTAGGAATATGATTTTCAGCAAGAGATTATATGGAAAAGAAGCTGAGGAGCAAGTTGATCCATTCTTCACACTTCTTGAATACCTCCATTATTTTGGTATCTTAGATTACTTACCATAGTTAAGTGTGTTTGATTTGGATGGTCACAAGGCAATTATCAAGAAAGCCTTTGCCACAGCAACAAAACACATTGATACTGAAGTTGATCAGAGGATTCAGATTTGGGAAGATGGCAACAAAGTTGTAGAAGAAGACATCCTTGATGTTCTTATCATGCTCAAAGATGCCAATGGGAATCAATTGCTGAATGTTAAAGAGATTAAAGCCCAACTCCTTGTAAGTATACTTTAAATCCCTTAAACCATGTGAACGGCATTGTTGAATTGTGTGACCTCCTCGTTTAAATTAAAATATTGAAACGGTGAGAAAGTAGATGGTTACAAACAATTAATATACATTCCTATTCCCTTCTAATGTTCTCAAAGCGTGTTCAAGATTTAATATATACATATAAAAAATAATTTTTGACCTATATATATAATAATAAGTTTCTATATACACAATATATTTTTTGGATGAAGGGTGTTCAGTTGACCATCCTTCAATGTATGTGGCTACGCCACTGGATGGTGCTGATATGCACGATTGGTTGCAAACCATTAATATACAGGAACTCATGTTGGCAACGATGGATAATCCCTCAAATGCAGTTGAATGGACACTTGCAAAAATGTTGAACCAACCAAAGTTAATGGAAAGGGCCATAGAAGAACTCAATACTGTCATTAGGAACAATAGATTTGTTCAAGAATCCGACTTGCCACAGCTAAATTAGGTCAAAGCTTGCATAAAAGAGGCCTTTCGATTTTATCCCATATCGCCTTTTAACGTTCCTCATGTCTGTGTTTCTGATACAATTATATATTAGTGAAAAATACTTCATTCTCAAAGGGAGTGTAGTGCTATTAAGTCGTCTTGGATTTGGCCGGAATCCTAGAGGTTGGGAGAAGGCGATGAAGTTTAAGCCAGAGCGCTTTCTTAAGGAAAAAAATGGTGAAGTAGTTCTCAATGATTCAGAGTTACGATTGTTATCATTTAGCACTGGACGACGAGGGTGCCCTGGTGTGAAAATTGGTTCTACCATTACTACCATGTTACTTGCTAGGCTTCTTCACGGGTTTACTTGGAGTTTACCACCAAATTCGCGATGCAATGACTTAATTGAGTCGTCGAAGAGTGATCTCTTTTGTACATTGCCACTTCTTGCTCAAGCAAAACCAAGATTAGCTAAGGCAATGTATTCTTAACACAAAAATTTGTAAATCTTATTGGGTTGTTGTGTAGAGGTAATCAAATTTCTTCAAGTGTGTCAGCTCTACATGAGTTGTTCTTTTTTCTTTTGTTCTAGTGGCTCGTTTGTTGAATTTTATTACTCCATCTGTCTCAATTTATACGACACACTTTCCTTTTAAGTCTAGTTAAAAAAAATGAAATCTTTCTCTATTTTGGAAACTATTTACAGTTAGCATCCCAATATTTCCCTTAAAGGCATGACCTGATTTACACACTTTCTTTGATTTCCGAATCCCACTGACCTTGAGAAACAATGAAATTAAACACTAATCAAAGATGGAAAAGGAAAATCATCTACTTATATATATAGATATGGATATGAAGAATATAATCTCTCCCGTTCGTCGCAGCAGGGTTTAGGGTTCGGGTTCAGTTTACCCAGTTCCTTAGTCACTAAACATTAAACCTAATCACCAGTTTTCTTCCTTATTTGGGCTTACAGTAGTTGACTTTTGAACGACTAAACTATTTATGGCGGACGAAAAATATAGACTGATGATTGTAGAAATAAAATCTGTTGTATTTAGTGATATAAAGAATGAGAGATGCTACGTGAAAGTGTCCACATGTAAAGACAACCAGCAACTCAAAACAACTAAGATGAACATGGTTGGGACCATGCTTCGATGGGCACAAAAGTTTGTTTTCGTTGTTCCATTCGATAGAATCCCTCATCTTGGTTTCGAAATATTTAGGGCACCTAATAAGTTCTAACCCTACTCCTTAGTAGGTGTTGTCGAATACAACGACAAAACAACAACAACAACAATCCAGTATAATCCCACTAGTGGAGTCTGGGGAGGGTAGTGTGTACGCAGACCTTACCCCTACCCTGGGGTAGAGAGGCTGTTTCCGATAGACCCTCGGCATCCCTCCCTCCAAGAACTCCCCACCTTGCTCTTGGGATGACTCGAACTCACAACCTCTTGGTTGGAAGTGTAGGGTGTTGTCGAATACGTATTATGGTATAACGAGGGCGTAATCCAAGGAGTAGAGGAAACTACTGAATATGATAGCGATAGAGTCTAAGAGTTGTAAATACAATAACTTTGATCTCATGTTCTTTATGTAATGACCAAAAATTGGGGTCAAACCATCTTGGATATTTATATAGAAGAAGCAGAGTCTCTGAAGACCTGGATCCATTAGCAGTGTCCTTATGTTTGGGTGTCCTATTTTCACCAGTTCCTCCTTAAAATAAACAAGTCATCACCAAGTAGCACCAAATCAGGTGAAGAAAATGCCAGTAGTCAATGTCAGGCCACAGTAACAACCACCTCATATGAAGGGGTCCATAAAGGAATCAATTCCGGTAAGATAACACCAAGAATGAAAGATTAAAAGCGGGATTTAAAGAATCTTACCGATCCATCTCCAAAAAATTAGTATGACTGCAACACAGTGAATCATGAGGATGTAGTTAACTTCTGGTGAGTACACCTCACCTTCTTTGCTGGAGGATGTGTGAACTACCTTCACCCGAGGAAAATAATCCAACACAACTGATTGCTTAATAACAGATAAGGTGGCTGAAATCAGTGACTGACTTGCAACTATTGCAGCTAATGTGGCTATTACAAAAATTGGCCAGTACACAGCAGATGGTATAAACTTGTAAAATCCATCAATATGGTCGTTTGGATTTCTGATCAGATATGCTGTCTGGTCTGCATATGTCAGTACTAATGATGGAAATATATTAAAGAGAACGCAATCAAAGCAAATAAACAAGCGTTGGGCGTGCTTGGAGCGCATAATCGGATACTGCACCACTTCTTCTTAACTCTTTAAGAGCTAGAAGATGTGCTTCTCTATATAAGCACAAAGATTTTCTTTCCATTTTCCGATAAGGGACAAAGTGCATTAGTAAATGAAACAACTTCAAACTTTTCTTTTCCCTCCATTTTCCATTCACACCTCTTATCTAATTAGATAAAAATTACCCAACACATACCGTCTCCATTATGTGAACTGTAAAGTTGTTCTTGTTTACTCCAATCAGAGCAAATAAACAAATTGGTGCATTTTAAATAAAGTGAAAACTGTCCATCACAAGAAAGAAAAAGATACTAAAGAAATACATTAATCGAATGAAAATGGATGGAGTATTATTATCCCTAGTATTCTTCAACATAACTTGACAGATCTGATTCCACGCAACCAACTGGCATTGAGTTAGTTTTTTACTTAATAAGTCAAACAATTTATATATTGATAACCACTAAGGCACTAACATGGTGTTGGAAATTAATTAAAGGTGTTGAAAACTCTATGATACTCGAGTACTAAGTTTAAATCTCTCTAGCTATATTGATATCATTTTGATCTTTTTAATTTATTGATTATTTTTAATTAATCCTCTCTACTCCTCTCTCCTTCTTGCCATCATTTCCACAATATTCTGATTCTTGAGTAGTTGATAATGGCAGCTTATAGTGCTGTAATTTCTCTTCTTCGAATTCTTGAGGAACGAAATCCAGAACTCATTCACAGTCAAACTGCTAAAGCGCTCGAATCTCTTCATGCAACTGCTGAATATTTCCAAAAAGTTCTTGAAGAAGCTGACAACAGTAGGTTTGACACTAAAAAAGTCTAAATCTTTTGAGGAAAGAATAAGAGTTGCTGCTAGTTATGCAGAAGATGTTGTTGAGCTGAAGATTTATCAAATCATTAAAGGCTCAAGCTGGACATTTGGAATTTTACAACACGAGGATTTGCTACCAGTTGTTGAAAAAATGGATATAACAAAGAAAGAAGTGATGGAGATTGTTTCTGACTTGAGCACTAGTACTCATGATGCTGATGATGATCAAACTCTTGTATTACCTGGGGATTCCTTGATTGGCACTTCTTCAATAAGTAATCAAATGCTGTCAAATTTGGAAGATGATACCATGCAGGGACTTGACGATGACATGGAGATCATAGTTAAGAGATTGACAGGACCACTGTCGGATCTAGACATTGTCACAATATGTGGCATGGGTGGCATCGGTAAAACAACGCTTGCTAGAAAAGCTTATGATCATCTCGCAATCAGGTATCATTTTGACATTCTTGCTTGGGTTACAATATCTCAAGAATATCGAAGTAGAAATGTGTTATTAGATGCTTTACATTGCATTTCAAAGCACACAAATACTGTCAACAGAAAAGATTATGAAACGAAGGGTGACGATGAGTTGGCCGATGTGGTGCAGAAAAACCTAAAGGGTCGAAGATACCTTGTTGTTGTTGACGATATTTGGAGTACGGATGTTTGGGATAGTATAAGAGGAATATTTCCTAATTACAACAATGGGAGTCGAATCTTATTGACTACTAGGGAAACAAAGGTAGCGATGTATGCAAATACTAGCAGCCCTCATGAGATGAACCTCTTGACTTTAGAAAACAGTTGGAAGTTACTTCGTGATAAGGTGTTTGGACCAAAACATGATCATCCTCCTGAGTTGGAAGAAATTGGAAAGAAAATAGTAGAAAAATGCCAAGGACTACCCTTGACGATTTCGGTGATTGCTGGACATCTATCTAAAACGGCCAGGACATTAGAAAGTTGGAAGGATGTTGCCCAATCATTAGGTGATATAGTTGCTGGTCATCCAGATAAATGCTTAAGAGTGCTCGGTTTGAGTTATCACCACTTGCCTAATCACCTCAAACCTTGCTTTCTTTTTATGGGTGGTTTCGCGGAGGACTTTCAGGTTGATACTTGGAGATTGATCCAATTATGGATCGCGGAAGGTTTTATAAGAACGTCAGGAAGTGGGTTGGAGGAAGTGGCATTAAATTATTTGGAGGATCTTATCAGTAGAAACTTGATAATGACTATAAAAAGGAGATTCAATGGTGAAATAAAGATATGTGGAATGCATGATCTACTGCGTGAATTCTGTTTGATAGAAGCTACAATGACAAAGTTTATGCATGTTGAGAGAACTAACTCTACTCTTTCATTAACACAAAAGCATAATGTTCGTCGCTTCAGTTTTCAAACCGAGGATTATTTGGTTGGTGATTGTTGCAAGATATTACCCCCTGTTGCCAGATCTATCTACGTATTTTCTCTATTAAGACGACCTTTTACAACCCATTACAACCTTCGTCATAGGATGAGGATGAGGTTGAGGAACCTTTTATATTCAGATATTACACAACATCCTACAATACTTGAAGTTTTCTCTCGTTTCAACCTTCTCAGGGTATTGGCCATCTTCACTGGTGCGTTCCATTCATTTCCACTAGCGATTACAAAGTTATTTCATTTGAGATATCTTGCAGTAAAATGTGGTGGAAACCTTGCTGCATCAATTTCAGAGCTTCAGAATTTACAAACTCTAATTCATGCACAATTTCGTTCAGTTATAACTTCATTACCGGGGGAGATATGGATGATGAAGAACTTGAGGCATATACATCTAGAGAGAAACAGTTATTTACCCAGTCCTAGAAGAGAAAGTATCCTAAATAAGCATATTGTGACGGGGATGCCAAATCTAGAGGAACTTTCTGGTGTCTGTTCCACTAGTTGTACAAAAGAAGTCTTTTTCCGGATGCCCAATCTAAAGAGATTGATTGTCTATAAAACTTCTTTAAGAGCAGATGTTAAGGCCAATCAACTCATTGATATGTCTAGCTTGACAAAACTCGAAGCGTTGAAATGTGTTAGCTATGCTTGTGAGTTATCCATCAAGAGGTTTGGTTTCCCAACATCACTTAAGAGGTTGACTTTAGCTGGCTCATTTTGTTTTCCTTGGGAAGACATATCAACTCTTGTCATGTTGCCAAATCTTGAAGAGCTCAAACTTAAAAGGTATGCTGTCAGTGGTCCAATATGGAGATTAAGTGATGAAGACAAGTTCGAAAGCCTAAAGTTATTGTTACTTAGTGAGCTAGATTTTGAGCGTTGGGAAGCTAGTAGTGATAACTTCCCAAATCTAAAACGCCTTGTTCTCAAGAATTGTCGCTGCCTGGAAGAAATCCCAACAGATTTTGGGGAAATTTGTACTTTGGAGTCAATTGAGTTACATAATTGCAGCACTGCTGCTGAGGGTTGTGCAAGAAATATTGAACAAGAACATGAAGAGTACATGGGAAATAACTCCCTTAAGGTCTACATCCATAGCAGTCACAGTAAAATTTAGATCTCTCTATTTTATTCCATCTCTGTTAAAGTATAATTACCTCCTTGAAATAAGCATGTTAATACATGTCTCACCCATTTCTGATTTAGTATTTTGTAAACAATAACTAATGATGTTCTGTAATATTTATTCTGTTTTGTACGATAGTTCGAAATGAATAAGGTTTCTACTATGCATTGTCTATGGTGTATAAGAATCGGAGGTTTCTATTAAGTATACTACACTATAAATATGCAGCTAGGGAAGATATATATAGAATCGCAAACAGAATGGTGCGAGCAAGAGCAAGCATAAAAAAGCAGGTATTGAAATGCAAAATGTTTTTTATAAAATAAAAGAAACTTTTTGAAGAAGACTGATCTATTGATACCGGGTATGTAAAATCGAATAAGATCGCAAATAACTCATTCATTATTTATCCTGTAACAAATTGTTGATCATATTTACCAATGGAAGTGTTCCCTCTGTCATTATCTCTAATCTAGAACTATATGAAGCATGAGAGAAAAGAGATAGCCCAAAAACTAAAAGCTCGGGTAAAAACAGCCGAGACGATAAGAAGCCATGCCAATAACGAGGTTCTAAGTCAAAGAATGCATCAAAGAACCTTCTTGTAGCAGGTAAATCAAGCTTCAGAAGAATATCCATACCGAAGCAAAAGAACTCTCTTTGACGCCTCCTCTCTATAGGCCACAAATCTTTCCAAACAGCAGCAGATAATTCATTACTCGAACGACTTCTTTCAGAACCAAGGTATTGAATTATGGCATTTGCAACAACAGGAGCTGCAGCTAGTGTCCTCGCCACCATATGACCAGTGGACGGATGACCATACCAGCTGTACCACCTATTCCAATAACTCTCTGAGATTATATTGGAAGAGGACCACCCATTGGTATTGTTTACCCTGGAATCCGGATAACAATTGAATTTATATGGGGTTTTAAGGATCCGTGAACTAAAAGATACAAAAGGTTTGGATTGAGGAAAATAAAAGATAAAGACTCAACAATTGCTGTTAAAGTAAATAATCGCAGAATATAATATTGCTTAGAACAATTGTGCTTGATAGCGTACAAGAATTGAGAGAGATGGTACTGTAGAGTAATGGTTTCCCCTCCCCTCTTTATGGGGTCTTCTCCCCTTTTATACATTCTGATTAAGGGTAAAAATAAGGTAGGTAAATTAGTTACATCGTGGATCCCTGTAATTACGCCTTAATGGCCTGAAGTGGTTGAGAAAATCACGTTTGGGCGAGATATCCGGCGACGCTTGGTTATCCGTTACGAGTCCGGCTTCCGACCTTGTGTGTTTCTCCATCCGGTGGTGACTCATATCGAGCTCTGCAACGGTCTCGAAATGAGTCGACCTCGGTTGTTGACGTGGCCGTCGTTCTACCTTGCATCCAGGTCGGGTTCGATGGCCCCGACTTGCCCCGGACCGGACCCAACCCGGTCGGGCTCAAGCCAAAAAGGGTATCACCCAATACAGATAGTCCCCTCGTTTATTAGAGAGTAATGATAATAAACGATATGATCGGTGACGTGATGCCCGTGACGTATGGCCATACGCCAACTGAAAAAGCCATCGAGTGCTCTGACCACGTCTGCTGCAGGCATTTAATGCTTCTCTTAATTATCTGTCGCTTCGTGTCTGTAACTTCGCGATTCGTGCCGCCGCCTCATGGGAAAAGTATAAACGACCCTTCCAGGTTCAACATTTCTTATCTTTCTCAAATTTTGCGTTGGTTGTATTTTCTTTTCATCTCTTCGTAAAGCTTCAAGAAATGGCGAAGTTATCTTATTGGATAGATTTTAGTAGACGCTCATGACCAGTAGACGCTCATGACCAGTGACACCCTGATGTCGGGCTTTTCTTTCGGCACTTTCATTATTCAGATTTTCTTTATCAAGTTTTATTATTAAATAGCTTGAAGTTATCTTTAAAAATTGAAATATTGGGTTGTTTTTGGTAAAGAGTCAACTTGCCTAGTACCACGATAGGCGCCGTCAGGACATGGTAGTTTGTGTTGTGACAAGTTGGTATCAGAGCCTAGGTTACTAGGTCTCATGGGTCATGAGCGGGTTTAGTAGAGTCTTGCGTATCGGTACGGAGACGTCTGTACTTATCTTCGAGAGGCTGCAGAACCTTTAGGAAAACTTCACATTCTTGAATTTTTGTCGTGCGAATCTGTTGATTCTGGTAACTAAACTTCTGTTATTCTATTCTCTCACAAATGGTGAGGACACGTGCTACCGGTCAGGACGGACGGCCACCAGTACCACCAGTCGGGACCGCGAAATGCCGAGGTCTCGATCGAGGCCGTGGTAGGGGTAGGGGTGTAGCCCGCACAGCAGCTAGGTCAGCGCGTACAAATCCACCAGCCACCCAGTTCATGATTTGGTCCCAATTGTGGATGCTCCAGCGGGACCAGCCCAGGCACCGGCTGTGCCTATTGTTATCCCGGGTCTTCAGGAGACCTTAGCTCAGATTTTGACCGTGTGCACCAGTCTTGCTCAAGCGGTCGCTGTTTCTACTACAGCAGCTGCTTCCCAGGCCGGGGGAGGCACTCAGACTCCCGTCGCCCGTACACCCGAGTAGGTTGTTTAGGGGCTTCAGACATCGGGGGCACCACCAGCCCAGCCGGTTGAACCTGCTCAGGATTATGTGGTACCAGTCATGCCTAATGACGAGCAGCGTAGATTGGAGAGGTTTGGTAGACTTCAGCCTCTGACTTTCAGTGGTACACAAGGCAAGGATGCGCAGGATTTCTTGGACAAGTGTTAGAGGATTCTTCGTACAACGGGTATTCTGGAGACCAGTGGGGTCTCGTTTACTAACTTTCAATTCTTTGGAGCTGCCTTTACTTGGTAGGAGGCTTATGAGAGGCGTAGGCCTTTCGGTGCAGCGCCCCTTACCTAGCAGGAGTTCTCTGTTCTCTTTCTGGAGAAGTATATGCCGCAGTCCCGCAGAGAGGAGCTGCGCAAGCAGTTCGAGCAGTTGCGTCAAGATGATATGACTGTGACGCAGTATGAGATGAGGTTCTCTAAGTTAGCCGTCATGCTATCTGGTTGGTTCCCACAGACAGGGAGAGGATCAGGAGGTTCGTTGATGGCCTCACTTATCAGCTACTGATTCTTATGACTAGAGAGAGGGTGATTGGTGCTTCTTTTGAGGAGGTTGTTAACATTGCTCGGGACACAGAGTCGATTCGCCGTCAGGAACGAGTGGAGAGGGAGGCCAAGAGGCCTCGTGGATCCGGTAGTTTTGGTGGTGCTCCTCATGGGGGTCAGTTTTAGCACGGCAGAGGCTGTCCATTCAGGCATGCCCAGTCAGCTCGCCCAGTTCACCGTGGGGCATCATCGGGCCATGGTTCTCATAGTTCTCATCAGGGCCATTCATCTCTTAGTGCCTTCCCAGCCCAGAGTTCGTCCCGTGCTCCATCAGTTCAGGGCTCCTCCATGCCAGGTTCTTTTACCAGTCATTCCGATGCTAGGGGTTCCCTTCAGTCCCCGTCACCAGCACCAGGGGGTTGTTATAAGTGTGGGGAGTTGGGGCATATGTGGAGACAATGTCCTCATCGTCATGGGGGTCCGCCTCAGCAGAGGTGTCAACCATCGACTTCTGCACCAGTTACTTCACCACCCGCCCAGGCAGCTAGGGGTGGGGGTCAGTCAGCTAGGGGTCGACTTAGAGGGGGAGGTCGATCAGGTGGTGGTCAGGCCCATTTCTATGCACTCCCAGCCAGACCAGATGTTATTGCTTCAGATGCTGTGATCACAGGTATTGTCTCAGTTTGCCACAGGGATGCCTATGTATTATTTGATCCTGGTTCCACTTTTTCATATGTGTCATCATATTTTTTTCATTATTTGGATACGCCCCGCGAGTCTCTTATTTCATATGTTCATGTATCTACTCCGGTGGGCGATACTATTGTTGTGGACCGCGTATATTGGTCTTGTGTGGTGACAATTGGGGGTTTGGAGACCCGAGTGGACCTTTTGCTGCTTAGTATGGTTGATTTTGATGTGATATTGGGCATGGATTGGTTGTTGTCGTGCTATTCTGGACTGTCACGCTAAGACGGTGACGTTGGCTATGCCGGGGATGCCACAGAATGAGTGGCGAGGTTCTCGAATTATGTTCCCAGTAGAGTGATTTTATTTCTGAAGGCCCAACGGATGGTTGGGAAGGGTTGCCTTTCTTTTGGCTTTTGTTAGGGATGTCAGTGCAGAGATTCCTTCAATTTATTCAGTTCTGGTGGTGAAGGATTTTCCGGATGTGTTTCCTGCAGACCTGTCGGGCATGCCGCCGGATAGGGATATTAACTTCGGTATTGATTTGGTGCCAGGCACTCGGCCCATTTCTATTCCACCGTATCGTATGGCACCGGCGAAGTTAAAAGAATTGAAGGAGCAGCTTCAGGAACTCCTTCTTAAGGGGTTTATTCGGCCTAGTGTGTCACATTGGGGTGCGCCTGTCCTATTTATGAAGAAGAAGGATGGCACTATGAGAATGTGCATTGATTACAAGAATTTGAACAAAGTCACAATCAAGAACAATTATCCTTTGCCTCGTATTGATGATTTATTTGACCAGCTTCAGGGAGCGAGAGTGTTCTCCAAGATTGATCTCAGGTCAGGGTATCACCAGTTGAAGATTAGGGACTCGGACATTCTTAAGACAGCTTTCAGGACCCGATATGGGCATTATGAGTTCCTTTTGATGTCTTTTGGGCTGACAATGCCCCAGCAGCGTTCATGTATTTGATGAACAGCGTGTTTCGGCCTTATCTCGACTCGTTTGTTATTGCATTCATTGATGATATTCTGGTGTACTCGTGTAGCCAGGAAGATCACGTTGAGCATTTGAGAGTTGTATTGCAGCGGTTGAGGGAGGAGAAGCTTTATGCAAAGTTCTCCAAGTGTGAGTTTTGGCTCAGTTCAGTGGCGTTCTTAGGTCACGTGGTGTCTAGTGAGGGTATTCAGGTTGATCCGAAGAAGATAGAGGCGGTCTAGAGTTGGCCCAGACCGTCCTCAACCACAGAGAGTCGTAGCTTTCTTGGTTTGGCGGGTTATTACCGTTGGTTCGTTCAGGGATTTTCATCTATTGCATCACCCTTGACCAAATTAACCCAAAAGGGTGCTCCTTTCAGGTGGTCGGATGAGTGTGAGGCGAGCTTTCAGAAGCTCAAGACTGCCTTGACCACAGCTCCAGTGTTAGTTTTTCCATCAGCTTCGGGTTGGCATTGGGTGTGTGTTGATGTAGGAGGGTAGAGTGATTGCTTATGTTTCTCGTCAGTTGAAGCCCGATGAGAAGAACTACCCTGTTCATGATTTGGACTTGGCTGCCATTGTTCATGCGTTGAAGATTTGGAGGCATTATCTTTATGGTGTGTCTAGTGAGGTGTTTACTGATCATCGTAGCCTCCAGCATTTGTTCAAACAGAAGGGTCTCAATTTGAGGCAGCAGAGATGGTTGGAGCTGCTAAAGGACTATGATATTACTATTTTGTACCATCCGGGAAAGGCCAATGTGGTGGCTGATGCCTTGAGTAGGAAGGCGGTGAGTATGGGCAGTCTTACATTTATTCCTGTTCGGGAGTGACCTCTTGCGGTTGATGTTCAGGCTTTGGCCAATCGGTTTGTGAGGTTGGATATTTCGGATTCCAGTCGGATCCTAGATTGTGTGGTTTCTCGGTCTTCCTTGTTTGATCGTATCAGAGAGCGCCAGTATGATGATCCTCATTTGCTTGTCCTCAAGGACATAGTTCAGCACGGCGATGCCAGAGATGTGTCTATTGGTGATGACAGGGTATTACGGATGCAGGGCCGGATATGTGTGCCCAGTATAGATGGGCTTCGGGAGTTGATTCTAGAGGAGGC